CTCTGCTCACATGAGGGAAATATTTTTTCTGGGGATCTATGATTACCACCATAAAGCAGTGTGAAACCAATCCCGTCAAACCAAGTTGACTCTCCCCTTGCTCCTCCCATTTCTCTGCATGTCATTCAGGGTGTCAGCTATGTTTTTATGACCCTTTCCTCAAAGCCACTATTGAATTTATTTTAATTTGATTTGATCTGTAACAAAGTTATTTAGAGAGGTTTGGTGTTAGGGAGTTGTGGTCTATAAAAGGTCCACAGTCCATGCCTTTCTGAATGCAGTTTACAGAAAAATCTTCTGTAAATCTGAGCTAGTTCTGAAGGAACTTGTGTAAAAGAGTGAAGGGTAAAGGATGAGGAAGAGAGATCATTTGGATTTCTAACATTTGTCTGTGATGGACTTTTAACATGTGTTTTTAATTATTGTTTTTCTGACCCAATTATTTAACAGGAGCTAGGATTTTTTGTTTGTTTGTTTGTTTGTTTTTAAATCCAGACACTTGAACTGATTTTGACAAATCTTTTAGAATTTGCCCTGAGAGGTTCCTTATATGGGTTTAAGCAGCAAGAATTTGATTTCCTTTCCTAAGATACTTAAAATTGTTGGTGCCTGAGGTTCTGGGTAAAAGTGGAGCATAGTAATTTAGAAAGAAAACAAGAGCTCCTCTGAAGGATCCACTTTCGTGTCTTCATGTCTTCAGTATGTCTGTCTTGAGTTTTATGATCATACAAGTTATGACTGGAATCCATGTAATAATATTCTTCTTAAAGAAATCTATGACATCATTTTACAAATCTTTGCTACTGTCATATTTGAATCTTCTATTAAAATTGCTTTCATTATAGTCTTAAAATTTAGACAAGATGGTACAGGTAGTTCCACAAAAATGAGAGCTCCTAGAAGAGGAATCTAACAAATGAATCAGCATCATTGGACTAGACTACCTTGGGTCAAATTTTGACACTATCACTAAGAAGCTGCAGGAACATTTCCCAAAGTACTCAATTTATCTGCACCTTTATTTCTTTGTTTTATTAAGGAAGCTATAATAGTATGTACCACATGACACATGGGGTTGATGTCCACATTTATCCTTCTCTTTTCCAGCTCTCTCTCTGTATCTTTGCATGTGGGTATACATATCACCCTACTGATTTGCACTTATCGTGTCACTTACCAAGATACTTATGAACAGATGAGCCATTTGACTTATCTGAGCAGAGGATTTTAGAAGTTTTGCAAATTCTCTTATATTCTTATATTCTTATGTTCAGTTCTTCTATTCTGGCTAGTCCTTCAGCCTGGAATCTGGAATGAGAAGACATATGGAACAGAGAGCCAAGAGGAACCCAACAGAACTGCAGCCATCCAGAAATTCTAGAATGTTGAGGATTGACAACTGAAATTTTTGCTCATCTCAAGCAGGTAAAAGAACCTCAAAGTAAGACAAGGATTGGGCAGAGATTCAACATGTCCATTGTTTTGTCTACTGATTAAATTAATGTGATCCTCAGTAAATTCTCTCATCTGGACAAAACGATGGAAGGAAAAGACTAAAGTTCTCTACATCTGAAGCTTAATAGGATCAAACTACCTGTGGAGCATTTCTCAAAAAGTTATGGGTATGTTTATTGACCAGATCAAGTCTGCTGGTACAAACTGCTTAAAAAGTAGAAAGTTATATAGAGAGAGATACATTACCATCAACTTGAATTAGAACAGACTGTTTGAACTGTTCAAGTCATTAGCTAACCATTGAGTTACCAATCTTCTATGGGTTAAAGTAGGTGATGCAACATCTTAGCCACAAATGGCATCTCTTTCAGTATCCACTTTAGAAAAAAGTGGACATTAATAAAACTCGAAGGAAGATAATGGGAAAAAAGAAATGTCCAAATCAAGCATATTGTCCAAGGACTGAGAAATGACTCAGAAAATGCAACTGGAAAAAACCAAGGGACATTCCCTACCATCAGGATGGAGAGCTTATGACGTGCTCAGTGAAATATCAGACTTACTCTGAACCAGGGACATATACGTTCCTCTGATTCTTCCTTTATTTTAATAAGGTCCCCCTTATCTTTTTGATTGGATGTTTAGAAGAAAGGAGATTGACAACTTGTTATTCTGTCTTGTCATAAATCTCGGAATCGTGAAAAGCAGCAAGCAGCCATGAAAAGCGTCATCAGATTCTTCATATCTGAGTCCAGTGCCTGCAAGTTTTGATTATCTTAGGGAGAGGAGCTAGAAGTACCTTGTGGGCAGAAGAGCAACAGGAGCTGATTACATTCTTTGCTCAGGTTTGTGGTTCACCTGTCATTGCCAGCATTCCTGGTAGATGGAGTAAACTTGCTTGCCCCACCAGCTTTCGGTTCAACTACATGATTTACTTTGGCCATAAGACAGAATGGATGGAATGTTTGTCATGACTGAATAGACAATTTTATAGTATTATGATTTTTCACCAATCCCCTTACTATTCCAGAACTTGTCCTCTACTTGGTTTTCATATGAGAAGACATGTGGAGCCCAGCACAGGCCAACTGAGTTGCAGCTAACCCCTCAGGCCTAATTTTTATGAGCCTGAAATTAATATTCATGGTTATAATCCACAGAGATATTGATGTTGTGTTTTTGAACAACAAAAGTCAGTATGTAAGAATTATTTGAAGAATTAATACAATAAATACACGCTTAATATAATGCCTGGCATATTCTAAATTCAAAATATGTTAGTCTGACACTGGTGTCATCTTGATATCCCCATTTACTTATAGAACTAGGTGTATATTTTATATTCTTAAGTATTTATTGAATGACGGAAAGCTATTTGTTTAGATTTATTACTTTTATAAAGTTAAGAAAGGTTACCAAAATAGAGAATTCACTTCTCCAATTCTAGTAGGATGCATTCTAAGTGTTGAGGACCCTGTTTGTTTGATCTATATTAGGAAGACTTGGACGGAGGAAGCATATTGCATGATATCTTTAAAATATTGAACATTTTGGGCCAATATTTTTTGTGCCTCCAAATAGAAGCATCAAGTGTTCTAGGATAAAGAGGTTCTAGAACTATAGTACACACGTCTTCAATTGTTTTTATGGCCAATACTCTGAATACCTAAATTGTGGTTAACTCTGCAGGACCACAAGTGCACCTGTCCGCCCTGGCTAATGTTGTGCATGGGTGAGCACACTCCCCAGTAAGGCCAGCAAACAAGTCAGCAGAGCACAGTGCACTCTGTCCTGCAAATAGCTGCAGCCACTACTTTGTTTCAAGTAGAAGCTACAAGAAGCCTCAGGTCTGGTACAAACATGCACCCCACTCCCTGTGTAGGGCACATTTCGTTTTTCCCTGCAGGAACAGACCTATATACACCCATGGGCAGTCCTAATAAACAGACTTCAGACTTCAGACCCCCGCTCCTGCTTCAGTCTTGGAGTCTCTGGAGTCTCCTACCTTCAGGTGGGTGAAAGTAAAGGTCAGCGCCCCCCCCACGCCCCCC